ATCTGAAGCGGTAAGTAATTTTGCAAGATCAAAAACTTTACGTGAACAAAGAGAATTTTTACCAGCTTTTGTAGTTCGTGAAGAACTTTTAAAAATTATTAGAGATAATCAAGGTATGTTACTATTAATTTATTTATTTATATGATTTTTTTATGTATATCTAAACAGTGCTAAATTCATTTATTTATTATATAGTTATTATTGTTGTTGGTGAAACAGGTTCAGGTAAAACCACACAGCTTACACAATATCTTCATGAAGATGGTTACAGCAAGTATGGAATTATTGGGTGCACACAACCTCGACGTGTTGCTGCAATGTCAGTTGCAAAGCGTGTTAGTGAAGAAATGGATGTAAATGAAATTTTTTTAATATTATTTTACTTCATTATTGACTATTAGTAAATAAATCTGCTAAGATGTGCTATTTCTAATTTATTTAGTGTAAGCTTGGAACAACAGTGGGCTATGCAATTCGATTCGAAGATTGTACTTCTGAAAGCACTCTGATAAAATGTACAAGACAAAATTAATCTATAAATTTTTTTTTGTTGTTTACTTTGATTAAAAATTGACCATAAATGGGGGTTTTCTTTTCTTTTAAAAGATATGACTGATGGTGTAATGCTTCGTGAATCACTTAAAGAACCAGATCTTGATCATTATAGTACTGTTATAATGGATGAAGCTCATGAACGTTCATTACAGACTGATGTTTTAATGGGTTTATTAAGACAAGGTATTTTTTTGGCATTTCTATCATTAAAAAATTTATTACAGTATGTTGAAAAAAATTTATTTATATTATATGTTTTTAAGTGATTACACGTAGAAGGGACCTTAAATTAATTGTAACTTCAGCAACTATGAATGCAGAAAAGGTTAATTTATTTTACTAAATTTACTTTCTTTCCTTCAAAAAAAAAATTATTTCTAACAAATTAATATATGTATATTCACATATATTTTTTCATTAGTTTGCTGCATTTTTTGGAAACTGTGCTATATTTACAATTCCAGGCCGTACTTTTCCAGTTGATACTATGTTTAGTAAAACTCCATGTGAGGATTATGTTGACAGTGCTGTAAAACAAGTTTTAGAAATTCATTTAAGTCGCCCAGCTGGTGATATTTTGGTGTT